GTCCCACATGCTATCCCACATGCTGCCCCACATTTTGCCCCACATGCTGTCCCCATGCTGCCCCACATGCTGCTCCACATGCTGTCCCACCTGCTGCCCCACATGCTGCCCCAATGCTGCCCCCATGCTGACCCCATGCTGCCCCACATGCTCCCCCAGACGCTGCCCCACATGCTGTCCCACGTGCTGCCCCACATGCTACCCTACATGCTGCCCCACATGCTACCCCACATGCAGCCCCACAAGCTGCCCCACATGCTGTCCCACATGCTGCCCCACATGCTGCCCCACATGCTGTTCCCATGTCGCCCAACATGCTGCTCCACATGCTACCCCACATGCTGCCCCACATGCTGCCCCCATGCTGCCCCCATGCTGCCCCACATGCTGCCCCACATGCTGCCCCACATGCTGCCCCACATGCTGCCCCACTTGTTGCCCCACATGCTGCCCCACATGCTGCCCCACATACTGCCCCACATACTGCCCCACATGCTGCCCCACATGCTGCCCCACATGCTGCCCCACATGCTGGCCCACATTCTATCCCACATGCTGCCCCACATTTTGCCCCACATGCTGTCCCCATGCTGCCCCACATGCTGCTCCACATGCTGTCCCACCTGCTGCCCCACATGCTGCCCCAATGCTGCCCCCATGCTGCCCCCATGCTGCCCCACATGCTCCCCCAGACGCTGCCCTACATGCTGCCCCACATGCTGCCCCACATGCTGCCCCACATGCTGCCGACATGCTGTCCCACATGCTGCCCCACATGCTGCCCCCATGCTGGCCCCATGCTGCCGACATGCTGCCCCACATGCTGCCCCACATGCTGCCCCACATACTGCCCCACATACCGCCCCACATACTGCCCCACATGCTGCCCCACATGCTGCCCCACATGCTGGCCCACATGCTGTCCCACATGCTGCCCCACATTTTGCCCCACATGCTGTCCCCATGCTGCCCCACATGCTGCTCCACATGCTGTCCCACCTGCTGCCCCACATGCTGCCACAATGCTGCCCCCATGCTGCCCCACATGCTGCCCCACACGCTGCCGCACATGCTGTCCCACGTGCTGCCCCACATGCTACCCCACATGCTGCCCCACATGCTGCCCCCATGCTGCCCCTCATGCTGCTCCACATGCTGTCCCACCTGCTGCCCCACATGCTGCCCCAATGCTGCCCCCATGCTGTCCCACATGCTGCCCCACACGCTGCCCCCCATGCTGTCCCACGTGCTGCCCCACATGCTACCCCACATGCTGCCCCACATGCTGCCCCACATGCTTCCCCACATGCTGCCCCACATACTGCCCCACATGTTGCCCTACATGCTGCCCCACATGCTGCCCCACATGCTGCCCCACATACTGCCCAACATACTGCCCCACATGCTGCCCCACATGCTGCCCCACATACTGGCCCACATGCTGCCCCACATGCTGCCCCACTTTCTTCCCCACATGCTGCCCCACATGCTGACCCACATGCTGCCCCACATGTTGCCCTACATGCTGCCCCACATGCTGCCGCACATGCTGCCCCACATACTGCCCAACATACTGCCCCACATGCTGCCCCACATGCTGCCCCACATGCTGCCCCACATGCTGCCCCACATGCTTCCCCACATGCTGCCCCACATGCTGCCCCACATACTGGCCCACATGCTGCCCCACATGCTGCCCCACATGCTGTCCCACATGCTGGGCCACATGCTACCCCACGTGCTGCCCCACATGCTGCCCCACATGCTGCCCCACATGCTGCCCCACATGCTGCCCCACATGCTGCCCCACATGCTGCCCCACATGCTGCCCCACATGCTGCCCCACATGCTTCCCCACATGTTGCCCCACATACTGGCCCACATGCTGCCCCACATGCTGCCCCACATACTGCCCCACATGCTATCCCACATGCTGCCCCACATGCTGCCCCACATGCTGCCCCACATGCTGCCCCACATGCTATCCCACATGCTGCCCCACATGCTACCCTACATGCTGCCCCACATGCTACCCCACATGCAGCCCCACAAGCTGCCCCACATGCTGTCCCACATGCTGCCCCACATGCTGCCCCACATGCTGCCCCACATGCTGTTCCCATGTCGCCCAACATGCTTCTCCACATGCTACCCCACATGCTGCCCCACATGCTGCCCCCATGCTGCCCCCATGCTGCCCCACATGCTGCCCCACATGCTGCCCCACATGCTGCCCCACATGCTGCCCCACTTGTTGCCCCACATGCTGCCCCACATGCTGCCCCACATACTGCCCCACATACTGCCCCACATGCTGCCCCACATGCTGCCCCACATGCTGCCCCACATGCTGTCCCACATGCTATCCCACATGCTGCCCCACATGCTGGCCCACATGCTATCCCACATGCTGCCCCACATTTTGCCCCACATGCTGTCCCCATGCTGCCCCACATGCTGCTCCACATGCTGTCCCACCTGCTGCCCCACATGCTGCCCCAATGCTGCCCCCATGCTGCCCCCATGCTGCCCCACATGCTCCCCCAGACGCTGCCCCACATGCTGTCCCACGTGCTGCCCCACATGCTACCCTACATGCTGCCCCACATGCTACCCCACATGCAGCCCCACAAGCTGCCCCACATGCTGTCCCACATGCTGCCCCACATGCTGCCCCAGATGCTGTTCCCATGTCGCCCAACATGCTGCTCCACATGCTGTCCCACATGCTGCCCCACATGCTGCCCCCATGCTGCCCCCATGCTGCCCCACATGCTGTCCCACATTCTGCCGCTCATGCTGGCCCTCATGCTGGCCCACATGCTGGCCCACATGTAGGCTTGAGCATGAACCCGACCCGACCCGACCCGACCCGACTGTGCCCTACCCGATGTCGGGTTCGGGTCGGGTCGGGTCGGGTCAAGTCGGGTCGGAGTTCAGGAAATGTCAACCCGACCCGTGTTTAATAGGTCGGGTTCTACCTAACTCGAGATCGGGTCTGGTGGGGTCGGGTTGGGATAGGGGCAGGGTTGGGTAATACGCCGACCCGACGGGTCGGGTTTTGTCGGTCGGGTCGGGTCGGGTCGGGTCGGGTACCCGAGGGTCGGGTCAACCTTCCTCAAATGTCGACCCGACCCGTCAAAAAGTCGGGTTCGGGTTGGGTTTCCCGACCCGACCCGACCCGTTGCTCAAGCCCACCCACATGCTTCCCCACATGGCACCCCACATACTGCCCCACATTCTGCCCCCATGTTGCCCCACTTGCTGCCCCACATGCTGTCCCACTATACATGAGCAATGAGGCGAGGATTTCCTCACCTCGGAAATCCTCGCCTCGAAATTGCGGGTGTCGAGGCAGGATTTCTGGGAAAAATCCTCGCGAGGAATCCTCGCCCCGCCCCGCGAGGATTCGAGGACTCGACAATTCCTCGGCACTTTAGGGGCGAGGATTGTTTCCTCGCGAGGATTTTTTCCTCGCGTCACTTTTGTGCGGTACAAACTGAATCTTCCTGACTTTGGCTCATTCATTACTTCTGAATCAGCTTTCGTATTAGGGTTAGCTAGGGGATAGCTGCCCCCATTTCGCCTGATGCTACCATTTAGAACAGCTAAAACGAAGGCCTTGGAGTGGGGTATACTTAACCTGCCGCCGCGCGACTAGCACTGAGGGGGGTCAGGAACGTAGTCGGAAAACCAGATCTGGTTTTCTGCAACCCCATCCAGAGTGTTTGATTGCGAAATTCGCAACCCCTACTGGCGAGGTGTTGGGTTGCGAAATTCGCAACCCCTACTGGCGAGATGTTAATTGCGAATTTCGCGACCCCCTCTTGAGGGGTCACCTACGAATTTTGCAAGACCCTGCTGCTGAGGGGTCAATTTCGAAATTCGCAGCCCAGGGGCCGGTAACGATTTTCGCAACCCTCTCTTGAGAGGGTCTAATTCGGAAACCTGAGGCAAGGGTGCCTATAACCCCTGGGGAGTAGAACGGAAAGAGCACTTTCGAAATAACAAAGGCAGAGTTCAGGGAATCCCCACCCCCACCCCCACCCCCACTCATGTCAAGGAATCCTCGCCTCGGGTCGAGGATTTTTTCCTCGAGGCGAGGATTCCAATCCTCGCCCCTAAAACCCGGGGGTCGAGGAGGGATTTTTTATAAAAATCCTCGGCGAGGATTCCTCGACCCGCCTCGGCTGGGGCGCGAGGAGGAGATCCTCGGGTCAAGGAATCCTCGCCTCGCCCCGTGCTCATGCCTATGTCCCACATGCTGCCGCTCATGCTGCCCCACATGCTGCCCCACATGCTGCCCCACATGCTGCCGCTCATGCTGCCCCACACGCTGCCCCACATGCTGCCTCACATGCTGCCCCACATGCTGCCCCACATGCTGCCCACATGCAGTCCCACATGCTGCCGCTCATGCTGCCCCACATGCTGCTCCACATGCTGCCCTACATGCTGCCCACATGCAGTCCCACATGCTGCCGCTCATGCTGCCCCACATGCTGCTCCACATGCTGCCCCACATGCTGCCCACATGCAGTCCCACATGCTGCCCCACATGCTGCCCCACATGCTGCCCCACATGCTGCCCCACATGCTGCCCCACCTGCTGCCCCACATGCTTCCCCACATGCTTCCTGCATGATGCCTCACATGCTGCCCCACATGCTGCCGCTCATGCTGCCTTTCCTACTCCAGCTCACACATTCGCTGTGTAATATTTGCTCCACTCTTTTGACACCGCGTTCGTAGTTTTTCCACTGCACTTATCCTGCTTACCTCAAGGGTTGTCCTGCATATCCCATCCCACATTCGTGCTCTGTCCCACATGCATGCTCCATTCCACATGCACCACAATGTTTGTGCATTATTCCTCTGCGCATTCGTGCTGCGTGTGCGGAGATCATGGGGGAGGGGAGGGCCCCTCAGCGCTGCTGAATTCAGTACGGCATTTGGCTGCGCACGTTAACCCTCCATGCGATTGTGCTGTGTGTCTGCAGATCGTGGGGTTCATTATGGGGGGTGGCGAGGACCCCGCTGTCCCGGCAGCAGGCCTCAAGTACCGCATGAGTGACTACCCCACAGCTGACAACATCAAGGTGCGACATGGTTCCAACAAAGGGCGCACTGCTTAGCTTGTGGATTTATCATGGGAGGTGGCAGCGACCCCTCATTTCCTGCAGCCGGGCTCTAGTGCCTCGTTGCAGGCCATGCCACAGCAGATACCATAGCATCAAGGTGTGTTGTGATTCGAGTTCTCCAGCAGCACAGCTAGTGCCTGCTGCTGGTGTCACGGGTTCAACGGGTTCCTCAGTGCCTGCAGCAAGGCTCAAGTGCCGCATGGCAGTTCATCCCATGGCCGATAACATCAAGGTGAGCGATTATTTCAACTATGCTGCTTTTGGCTGCAACGCATTCACCACTGAATGCCATACCTGTCTAACCTCTAAACTCCCTTACTCCCGTCCCTCCCTTACTCTCTCCTCATTCTCCCGCCCTCCCAGGCCTTCACTCAGAGCTTCATTGATGGCCGTCTCAAGCCCTTTTTCAAGTCACAGCCCCTGCCAGAGGAGGTGAGGACGCCGATATTTCCGAGTATGCAAAGCGACCACAACACAGGGCCCGTCTGCTTCGTCCTTGCTTGTCTTCCATCACCAGCACTCTGTGCTTTCGTACTGCCTACCTGCCTGCCTCTCTCGCTTCCATCTCCTCCTCCCCTGCGCCTCCTCTCGCTCGCTCATGTCGTCCATGGAAACGGCGAGTGACTGGTGCTGGCATTGAGGTGAATCAATACTCCCACATAGATCGATAGGTACGGCACTTATCTCCAGAGACGTGCTGCTGGAGGTATGGTGCGGCAGCCCTCCTGCCCCTTCTCCCCCGGGCACCTCTACTGACGCTGCCGGGCAGAATGACGGCCTGGTGACTGTGGGTGTGGGAGGCTCGATTGACATGCCTCTGATCTCTTCCCCACCTTCACCCATCCCCTCCCTTTCCTCCCGCCGTCTCCCCCCCCCACTCCCCCCTCTTTCCCCCTCTCCTCCCTTCCCTCCTCTGTGTCTCGCTCTAGCACGCCTGGCAGAATGACGACACTGTGTGCGTGGTGCTTGGAGACACGTTTGGCTGACCTCTCGAAACTCTTCCTCACCTCCACCCACCCCCTCCCTCCTCCCCCCCCCCCTCGCCCGTACTTTGTACCTCCCCTTTCACACGTCTGGCAGAATGACGGCCCGGTGACAGTGGTGGTGGGCGACTCGTTTGAGCAGATTGTGTTGGACGATACCAGAGACGTGCTGCTGGAGGTATGCGCAGCGTAGCATGGGGTATGCGCAGCGTAGCATGGGGTATGCGCAGCGTAGCATGGGGTATGCGCAGCGTAGCATGTGGTATGCGCTGTGCTGCATGTGGTATGCGCTGTGCTGCATGTGGTATGCGCTGTGCTGCATGTGGTATGCGCTGTGCTGCATGTGGTATGCGCTGTGCTGCATGGGGTATGCGCTGTGCTGCATGTGGTATGCGCTGTGCTGCATGGGGTATGCGCTGTGCTGCATGTGGTATGCGCTGTGCTGCATGTGGTATGCGCTGTGCTGCATGGGATATGCGCTGTGCTGCATGGGGTATGCGCTGTGCTGCATGTGGTATGCGCTGTGCTGCATGTGGTATGCGCTGTGCTGCATGTGGTATGCACTGTGCTGCATGTGGTATGTGCTGTGCTGCATGGGGTATGCACTGTGCTGCATGTGGTATGCACTGTGCTGCATGTGGTATGCGTTGCTTGCATTGCTGCTATGCATGCGTTGCATTGCATGTTGTATGCGTTGCATTGCATGTTGTATGCGTTGCATTGCATGTTGCATGCGTTGCATTGCATGTTGCATGCGCTGCATTGCATGTTGCATGCGTTGCATTGCATGTTGCATGCGTTGCATTGCATGTTGCTTGCATTGCATTGCATGTTGTATGCGTTGCATTGCATGTTGTATGCGTTGCATTGCATGTTGCATGCATTGCATGGCATGGGATATTATGACGACTACACACCTCTGAAGCACCATGTCGTTCAACGTGAGCCCTTCATCAGTTTGCCATCCATCACACGTGTTGCTCCTTCAGCGTTGCATCTGTTGCATAACTCGTCCTTCCCATTCTTCCCATTCTTCCCACCTCTTCACTCGTTCACTCGCGTGCACCGACATCATCCTTCCCACTCAACTCGAAGCCACCAGCCGCCCCCCCCCCTGGTGCAGCCACTGCCAGCAGTTGGAGGTGTATGGCTCTCCTAGCGTGACCTCTCTCTCCCCTGCATCCCTCATGTCTCTCCTTTGCAACACACCACACCAGTTCTACGCCCCTGGTGTGGCCACTGTCAGCAGCTCGAGGTGCACAGCTGCCTACCTGTGCATGTCTCACATGCCTCGCACTTGTTACATCACCACTCCCTGTTACCCCTATGACCCACCAGGTCTACGCCCCCTGGTGCGGCCACTGCCAGCAGCTGGAGCCGACCTACAAGAGGCTGGCAGAGCGGTTCAGCGTGGTGCAGTCCGTGGTGATTGCCAAGATGGACGGCACTGCCAATGAATACCCCGGCCTCGAGGCACGTCACCTCCCCTCCGCCCATGCTCCCGCCCTCCTCTCACGGTGTTCATCCTCTCACGCCCCTGCCCCTCCTCTCAATGACCCTCGCTCATCTCCTGTCCCTTCTCCCTCCCTTTCCTCTCATCTTCCTCCCCTTCCTTTTATTCCACTTCCCCTCCTCTCATGCACCCTTCCCCCTCCTCTTGTGCCCCCTTTCCCCTTCTCTCATGCCCCTTCCCTGTTCTTATCCTGTCAATTTACATTCGCGCCCTTGCCTTTTTTTCCTGGCCCCAAAACATAGAAAGTGTATCTCAATGTTTGTATCCTCTTTTCCCCTGCCCTGCAGGTGGAGGGCGTCCCCACCATCGTGTTGTGGCCTGCAGGGAGGGCGGCAGGCCCTGCAGGTGAATGAATTCCCCCCGTTTTGTGTGTGCCCGTGCGTGCAGGTGGAGGGCTTCCCCACCATCGTGTTCTACCCAGCCGGGAAGAAGGCAGACCCGGTGAGATCCCAGTGGCATGTCCGCCATGTGCTGTCTGGGCTCGTGTCACCTCCCCGTCTTGACTGGATGCGCCAGTTATGCTGGGTGGGTGTGTGTGTGTGTGTGTGTGTGTGTGTGTGTGTGTGTGTGTGTGTGGTGTGTGTGTGTGTGTGTGTGTCTGTATGTGTGTGTGTGTCTATGTGTGTGTGTGTGTGTGTGTGTGTGTGTGTGTCTGTGTGTGTGTGTGTGTGTGTGTGAGGACGTGGTACATTTTGTGTGACAACAGGCCCGGTGTTAGGTGACTCACATGTGTCTAGGCAGTCTATGCTGCCTGGAGCACAGATTGGCACGCGCTCACTTCATCAAACGCAATGTCACCACCACCATCACCAGATTGCGTGTGCTCATGCCTCCTCATGTCTTACTGTCACCAGGTGAAGGTTCAAGCCAGAGCCCTCAATCAGCTCGTCCAGGCTATCAGGGGCAAAGCCTCCACCGCATTTGACCTCGAGCCTCATTATGTCCCTCTCCTGCCCTGCCTTATCTCTGCCCCCCTCCCCCCCCAAATGCCCTCTGCGCTCATCAACCAGTCTACAGGTGGAGGGTCAAGCGAGGACCGCCAAGCTGTCATCCAGGCCATCTGGGGTCATGCCTCCACCACGTTTGATCTCGAGCATTTCAGTCCGACTCTTTTCTCCCCTGCCATGCCTCTGTGCCACGTGCGTGTGCGCACCACATGCGTCCACAGGTGAAGGTCCAAGCGAGGAAAGTCAAGCAGTTCGTCCAGGCCATCAGAGACAACGCGTCCACTCACTTTGACCTCGAGCCCTCGCCTGAGGACGACCAAGAGGAGGAAATAGGAGAGGAGGAGGGACAAATGGACGATGGTGAGATGGATGAGGGGAGAACGGAGAGGGCGGAGGAAGAGGAGATGGGTTACGATGGGATGGAAGGGGATGGGGAGGACGAGGCGTTTGATGAGCAGTTCCATGACGAGCCGCTTCACGATGATGAGTTGTAGCGATTGATGAGCAGTTCGAGGGCTCGAGGTCAAAGTGAGTGGACGCTTTGTCTGCAGTTCCAGTAACAGCTACCGTAATCCCCCGGATATAACACCCCGGGTATAGTACAAAATTCATGCAAAATCAGGGGGGTGGGTGCTCTATTTCGCGTTTAGGCTATAGCAACCTGGTGTTATATTTGAGGACAGAATTTTTAAGATGTGCATTAGACTCAGTGCATCATGGCGATTTTAGACATTCAAATTCCGGCTGAAAAGGCGTATGTTTTCTCGAGGTTCGGAATAGCCCTGGATTGCCCATTGCTCACGAATTTCATGTTTGTGTCAGGTTAGTGAAGCAAGATTGGGGGTTTGGCGACACTCGCAATGGACTGGACGAAAATTGCGACGCTCATCAGCCAATCAGCACAGGTCTGTCGCACAAAAGAAAAAAAAATTGTCGGCCCACTGCGCTTTTCCAGGTGAATATTTGTTTCACTTTGTCATTTTCAGTACCAGAGAATCCTGTCAAGTGCCTCGGAAAATTTCAACTTTTGCGTCCTGATCGTAATCAGCATGAAATAGCGTGAAAAAACTGCATTTGTTGGTGGTATTGTTAGGCGTAGAAGGGTTTGAATGTAATGGGGGGGGTGCTCTCCTGGAACCAGTGCCTATTTTTCACGAGTAAATTACTCTGATTCTCTGATTTTCAGAGTTGATTTCATGTACCACCCTTACGCCTCTGGGTAAAATTTTGAGATTATACATTTTCTCTGATAAGCCAGGGTTTTCTTTTGTACCACCCTGAGGGGTTTACTGTAAGGGGGATACCCCCGGATTTTCTTGTACCCCCTGTCCATACATGCCCCCTTGTTCACGCGGACCGCCGAGCTGGCCCCACGTCATATACCCCCGGATTTTCGTGTACCCCCCTGTCTACATACGTGGCCCCATATCCCCGCCGTATTCACGCAGACCGCCCAGCTGGCCCACGTCACATGATGCATGTCTCGCCCTTGCTGGCAGATTCCATGATCCCTATTGGACACATGTTTTCCTCACGCCTCCCTTTTTCCAAGCCCTCTCTAGCCCCACTCCCCCACTTTAGCCTCTCTCACAGCATTCACGTATCTTCGTTCCTCACCTTAGTCGTTTTTTCAGCAAACGCCCTCTCTCATTACCAGGGTCCGCCATGCCTAGCGCGGTTGATCTCGATGATGGCGTCAGTGGTGGGAAGAATCCAGGCTCCTGGTGCTCGCTAAGTGCCATGCCCTAACAACCGTGCTAGCATACTAGCAGAACATACCACACCACATCACATGCTACGAGTGGCCGCCATTTCCGCCACTACTGCCGCTACTACGAGTGACGCCAATTCTGTTGGCTGCTGCCGCCCATGGGATGATCGCCGCTGCTACTGCTGTGCATAGTGGGATCGTAGCTGCTGCTGCTAAGTGACCGAATTTCCGCGTAGACTGCTGTTGTTAGTTGCGAGTGCCGCGATTTTCACTCATGTTGCTAGATGTGACGAGATGAGTTTGCCGTCACTGCTAACGCAACCAGTGATACGATTGTTGCTCACGTTGCTTATTTGTGTGTGTGACAGGATCGCCACCACCGCTGTTGCTGCTGTGGGTAACGAGTTCCTGTTGCTTGCTGCGGCGGCAGCGTAGGGTGAGATTGCATCAGTTGCTACTACAGGTGACAAGTTTCTGCAGCTGCCGCAGTTACGAATGTCAACAATTTGAACTGGTACGGAGCAGATTAGAGCCCAACGGACGACATGGAATGGCGGGGATTCGTATTAGTGGAGCCTGGCTCCCTGGCTCCTGCGCCTTCAGGTCCACAGTGAACAGAGGTCACCTACAGTATTTGTGAGTGGAGCAACGGATGGGAAGCGGGAAAATCAAGGGAGCCCAGCCGAGCATCGAAGACCACGACAACGGGCGCACAACAAATCTGCTTGACTCGGAGAATACCCGTATCGGATAGAGGAACATCCCTTCCGATTCGGCTACACAACCTCTAAAATTCAAACTAAGTTCAACATGTTACTAGCCTTTTAGAGTCCTGTGCTACTAGTGTGTATGGCATGATGCTGATGATGCTGATGAGTGAATGAAGGAATATAACACTATATTTATTGCAAGAGCACATACCCCCCTAGATCCACGGTGTCTAATAACACACACTGTTAAGAGGGTGAAATAAAGGCACCCTGACTTGTCAGAGTAAAAAACTCCAAAACGTAGGGTTACCCTGATGCCTCAGGGTAAGTGTGGAGGATCACTCTGGTTTTCAGAGTAGTGGGGAAAGTAACTTCCAGATTTCAGAGTTGTGAAAATCCTAAGATCAGCACTGCCTGGAACCCTCAAAAAGAGGGTATATAATTGCGGATTCTTCAATAGAACACCCTCCCCGGATATAACACCAGGGGGTGCTTAATTTTGGCAGGTGTTATATCCGGGGGATTACGGTAGTATTTATCAGAATGAGAGAAGTGATTAATGAGTAGTGTGAGAGTACAGATAGATATACCTATGTATTGTACCCTCTAAGAGGTGACCCTATACAGTCTATGCAAACATAACTAATACACATGTTTGACACACCCCCTAGACTGCATAGGGGAATGTCCTGAACAAGCAGCTCAGGGCGGCACTACTAGTCCAACCTCTGAGACAAGGGTCTAAAAGACCAGTCAGAAGGAGTACAAACAAGGCAAGAACAGGATCAGGGCGGCACTACTAGTCCAGCCACTGGTAGAGGACACAAGTCCAGTCTGAGTATACATAGGGCAGTACAAAGTCAAGGCCCTAGCAAGTGAGAGGCTACAGGGACAAGACCAAGCTGTACGCAGTGCCGCTAATGATCTTTAGGCGCAAGCGCCTTCGTAAAGATATCAGCTGTGTTGGCACCTGAGGCCAAGTGTACTACGCGAGCCTGGCGTCGCTGCTGTAGCTCGCGCAGGAGGAAGTATCGCAGCTGAATATGCTTCGCTCTGCCCTCGAGTCGAGGCTCCTGACACAGGAGGATCATGGCCCTGTTGTCAGCGAACAGGACCGGGGCAGAGCTAGGCCGCTCACCTAAGTCAGTGAGCAAGAAGGTCAGCCAGCGGAGCTCCTGTGCCGCCATGGCACCAGCGTAGATCTCGGCCTCACTGCTGGACTGGGCAACAGACGAGGAGCGGGTAGCTCTCCACGAGACGGCACCTGAGCCAAGGCTGAAGCAGTAGCCCTGGGTAGACCTGAGTGTCTCGGCGTCGTCTGCCCACGAAGCGTCGGTGTGTCCAGTAAGGACTACTGGCGTGCGTCCTCCTACCACTAACCCCATGCCCGATGTACTAGCAAGATAACGCAAAACCCTCTTAGCGACAGACCAGTGCTGCGGTCGGTGTCTGCCTGTGGCCACAAAGCGAGCCAGGATGCTGAGAGGGTATGCGAGATCTGGGCGAGTGCAAGTCATCAGGTACATGAGGCAACCCACCAGCTCTGCGTAGGGGCCGCTGGGCTCAACCGACTCCTCAGACACTGGAGCGGAGAGTCTGTGGTCTACAAGAAGAGGGGTGGGCTGTGCAGAGGAGAACAGAAGGCTGAACCTCTGAAGGACCTGGCGCACCAAGTGTGACTGAGTCATGATGATGGTGCGCGCTGCTCTGTCCCTAGAGATCTGCAAGCCAAGGTAACGGCGCAGTTCTCCAAGGTCAGTGCACGTGTGTCTCTTCAGCAGCTCTGCCTTCACGGAGGCCTGTGCGTCCCTGTCTGCTGTGGCAAAGACCAGGTCGTCAACGTAAACAAGGATGTAGAACGGAGTCTGGCCAGCACGAACGAAGAGTGAGGGGTCTGCGGAAGAGGGAAAGAACTGCAGGTCAGCAAGCGTAGCACGGAGAGTGTCGTGCCACTCACGGGGAGCCTGGCGCAGGCCGTAGACGGGGCACCGCAGGAGCCACTGGGTCCCAGGAGGGAAGGTGCCAGTAAAGCCCTGAGGGCGACGCAAGTAGACCTGCTCGTGTAGGCTGCCCTGAAGGAAGGCAGTGGAGAAGTCGAGGGAGTGAAGCTCGTAGTCGCGCTGAGCAGCTAGGTGTAGCAGAACCCGAAGAGTAGTCATCTTCGGGGTCGGAGTGAAGGTCTGGAAGAAGTCCACCCCCTCACGCTGACTGAAGCCTCTAGCCACGTAGCGCGCCTTGAACACAGGCGGCTCTCCAGGACGGCGCTTCAACTTGAAGAGCCAGCGGCCATCGACTACGTTCACCCCAGGCGGGGGAACTGCGTCGAAGAAGGTGCCGGTGGATCTCCAAGATGCCATCTCCTGCTCCATGGCAGCTATCCACTGAGAGGCCCAAGGTCCCGAGGTCGCCTCAGCGTAAGTGCGAGGGGTCGGGATGTCGAAAGCGTCTGGGTCACCCTCAGGGACTAGCAGCATGGAACAGGTTAAGCTGGTGAGAAGCGTAGTGCACAGTGAACGGCCACAAAAAATGGGGTGCACTGCCATGGATCATGGAGGTGCGAGCCACCTCCATGACCAAACCGATGCGTCGCTCAGCGACCCCATTCTGCTGTGGGGAGTCCGGTAGGGTGAACGTCTGGGTGATGCCCTCCGCACGACAAAAGCGACCAAGGACACCTGAGGCAAACTCGCCACCACGGTCGAAGTGAAGACGCAAGACAGGGAGACCGCGGTGGACACGCGCAGAGACAAGCCAGGGGATGAGAGCGCCAGGCACGTCGGCCTTGCGCTCCAGGGGAAAGACTGTGGTGTAACGAGTGAAGTCGTCGACAAGCACAAGGAAGTAGCGCTCTCGACGCGGCCCAGGGACGGGGGCGGGGCCCCAGACGTCCAGGTGCAGGGTCTGCAGCGACGCGGCGGTAGGGGGAAACGAGGAGGAGAGAGGGGCACGGCGAAGCCGACCCTCGACACAAGGCGTGCAAGGTGGGGCTGGGGAGGAGGGAAACGCGGGGAGAGAACCTGGGAGACCAAGGACAAGACCGTGCTGGGACATGTGGCGCAGACGCGGGAGCGCAGGGTGACCTTGGCGGTGGTGCCAAAGGAGAGTCGGGTGAGTGAGGGACCGACAGGAGCAGGCGGCAGCAACCTGGGTGAGCGCTCCAGCCATGGGGGGTCACGGTGTCCAGAGTGAACAGGCCGGACACCGGGTCCCGGGGGAACGTGGACAGGGGGGCACCAGTGGCGGCCTCGGTACAGACAGCATACCGCTCGTGACTAGGGAACGTAGTGGTGACGCCAAGGTCCTGGAGGCAGCCGACACCAACTAAGTTCCTGGAGAACAAGGGGATATGCAGACCTGTGAGAGTGCCTGAAGGAACCGCCAGACAGGGAAGGGTGGTGGAACTGCGGGCGACTACCGGACCGCCGGAGGGGTCAGCAAGAGAAACGGCAGCAGGAACAGGAAGCAGCGTCAGGGTGGTGAAGTCGCGGAAGAAACACCGGGAAGCGCCAGAGTCCAGGGTGAAGGAAAGCGAAGCAGAGGTGTCTGGCGACGGAACGACGGCGGAAGCACCAAGACTACACAAAGCAGGGGATCCTACGCCTGACGCAACAGGGGAGGCTAAGCTAGGCACACCTACACTAGCCGACAGTGAGTAATAAGC